TCCTTCTTCCTAGTCTGTCTTAATCTGAATGTTCAGATTTAGAGAAGTATCAGACAGACCAGCATTTTACAGAAAAGTGAAAGATATTTCCCTTATTGTGCAGTTAGCTGTTTGTATCAGTATTGTCCCTGCCTTTGGCACATGTGTCTTTACCCACTTATTTCCCTGCTTCACCATCTACCAGGATACCCAACCACTTCTACCCACTCCCTTCAACATCTGTCTCCCATTGTCCAGCCCTTGATCTGATAGCTTATATCTGAAGTTTCCTTGGCTTCTGTGATTCCAAACATGTCAGCTGCTGATGGTTCCTTATGCTCTGACCAGTGTCTCTTAAGGTCAGAGCAGAGTTTAGGGCTGTTGTACATAGAGTTGCTATGAGTTGCAAGTGACTCAATGGCACATAACAACAACAATCATTTATAGACTGTTTAAATTACCATTATTATAATTAATTACTTACAGTATCCAAGCGACCCCTTAGATTTAGTTTTTATTTTCATTGTAATTTAGGCAGAAGATAACTTTTATTTCTCTGAGGTCACTTTTTTTTTAAAATTGAGATTTTAATGAAAGTTTATAGAGACTGGAGTTCTATTCATTCATTATTGCACCTTTTCCTCCCTGTCCACCCCCTCCTCCAGTTCACTTTTCTCTTTGAAAAGAACAAAAATTGTTTCATTGTTATACAATCACCCCCTCCCCCCAGTCCACTTTATTATGCAGCTCTTATTCTAGCCTCTTGTAATGAAAATAATACCTAATCATATATTCCTTTGGTAAAGCACACATCTGAAAAATTGTAATTTTCGTTCTTGTAATACTGGGCAATTATAGCTGTTTTTCCCACCGTTAATGATCAAAGCATTAGGTTTGCAGATTTTAGGTTATTTATCTGTTAAATTAACACTTATCTAACCTTTGTTGAAACTTGTTCTCAAATGATAGCAGAATCATCTTTGAAGTCTAATTGTGATTTTTTTGTGTGTGTGTGTGTGTGCGCTGATTTTCCTTTTTTTTTTTCTTAAGATAAATCCATTACCATGTCATGCTTTAGGACCTTACTCTTGCAAGAGAGTTTGCGGACGAACCTTAGATTGTCAGAATCATATTTGTATGAAAGAATGCCATGAAGTAACTGAAATTTATGACTGTCTAGGCAAAAAGAAGGTAAGATCTTCAGGTCAGCTGTATTTTACAATATACTTGAAACATTTTCCCCAACAATTTTATCACAAATATTTTTCAGTTTACTATCACACAGGAGGAGAAGGCCCATCCTCCTCCCACAGCTGGAAGATTTGAACCATGTACCTCTGGAATTGCAGTACAGCTTCTTTCTTTTTTATTTTTTTAATTTATTATTAACTTCAATGAAAATTTACAGAGACATTTGAGTTCCACTCATTCTTTGTTGCACTTTTCTCCTCTCCTAACCCTCCCCCCCCAAGTACACTACCCTCTTGGAAAAGTAAAAGAAAAATTCTTTTCATTGTTTCCTCCCCTAGGTCCA